TTGCTGCTGCTGTTGGTGCTGGTAGTGGTGGTGGTGGTGGTGGTGGTGGTGTAGGTTTGAAAATTTTAGGGTATTCGATCAGTTTGCTGCCTGGTAGTTGTCAGTTTACTGATCAAACAAGACCCAATTTTGCCAAAGTAAAAAAAAAATTATTTGTTTGCTTAGTTAGTTTCTATGATTTTCAACAGCTCTAAATTGTTCTTTTTGAAATTATACGTATATATTTGTTTATTTATTTATATTTATGTTTACAATTTGTTCATAGAAGTATTTTTTATTTTTCATTTATAACTTTAAAAATTTACTAAAATTTATAAGTGATTTTTTCCAATAACCTTCAGTCTGTCTACTAAAGCAAATAGAATGTTTTTTAAACCTTTTTGTCTTCCTATTCTCATATGGTTGTATTGCCAATGGTTTAGTGCTGCCGTTAGCATTACATTTACAGCCATTAATACTTGTGAATCATAGCACAGTTTTTGGCCCCTTGAACATAGAAAAGTTTGGCTTTAATCCTAAGCATGAAATTTGATCTGTAGACTGGAACAGTTAACGAACTACAAAGGAACAAAGGTAAAAAAAAAAAAAAAAAAAAAAGAAAGATGCTATTGTGCTGGAAATGTTCTATGATTTTAAGTTAGTTTCATGTAAACTGTTACCGTGTTATTTGCTTTTATTTTGTTAATCCGTTTTAAGCAAGCAAAGAATTTGTTCAGTTTTCTTTTTACGTAATATGTTTAAGTGCATTCCCGGAGATGCATTATTATCACTGAATAAGAATGCATAGTTTTCTATTCATTTTTTTTTCACGTCTTCTCTGTCCTCTTTTTTCTTTTTTCTTCATTTTTTAGACTATCGATTGCATTGGACAATGATATCAAAATGTATGAAAACAACAACCATTGAAGATGTTCAAAAATCACAACTTTCCTCCAATATCAGCGTTTTACTTATTTAATTTTTTCCAACAATTGTACTTTTCAAGATTTCTTCTCCTCTTTTTGGTCCACTTTCTTCTTTTATTCTACGTTAAAACCATGAGTCTTGCTTGACCCCTCGTTTTGTTTCCTCATTCCTTTTCCCTCTATCATCTTTTCATGGCTTTTCTCAACGCCTTTTAAATAATGTTTAGAATTCAATAATTAAAGATGCGTTTCTGTTTGACGATTAAAACATCAACAATATGTGCTGATAGAACTTTTAAACGGCATCAACGCTTGCAGTAGCCACAACAGAATTATGCAAATAAGCGCAACAATATTCTGCTTTTTAGTGTTACAATCATTGATAGTCTTTAACCGACATTAACTGTACTGCAGTTGTGAACCTTCCGTTTGCTTCTTTCTAAAAAGTGAGAAAGATTCTTTCTATTGGGGTAAAAAAAAGTGCTTTCGTTTAATTTGCAATAGTAAAAAATTTATTATTTTCAATGACTTGTTTTCCCTTCTCCAACAAAACTCCATATTTGTTGAACAACATATTTGTATTTCAGGCGACACAACTGTTCACACAAACATATAAGTTGTAGTTCAAACAATTGCTACACGTAATTTTTTTGACAAAGTAAGTTAAAATTCTAATATCAGAAATCTGCTTCAAAAAAAAAAAAAAGTTGCAAATAAAGATAAATTGAATTGGCTGCAAATTCTATACAAACACATACAAACACACACAAGTATATATACCAGCATCACTCTTCCTAATTCATAGTTAGGCGATGATGGAAATGGGAAAAATTTATGGTGTTCTACTTTGTAAACATTTCAAAAGCAAATTCTGGAATCTTTTCCAGAAATTTCTACTTGTATATTCCTATAATTTTTCCATATGTAAACCAAATCATGAAAAAACAAAAAAATCTTTCTTAAACTATTATTAAATATATTTAACTTATTTATTTCATTAACGCATTATTAAAAACTTTTACTGCAGAGAGATTTGGAGAGTGAGGGAGAGACAAAAAAAAAAGGTGGAGGTTTAAATAGTCGAGATTGGATGAACAAAACTAACATTTGTTCAATTCCATTAATTCCTTTCATTACTGTGTTTTGCATTAGTCTAAATCTCAGTATAGGGACAAGTAAAAAACAATGAAAATGCCTTTTTTTTGTTTGCAGGACTGAAAAAAAAGCCACCAATTTGGTCAGACAATCATTATGGAGTAGAATAGTGGAATACTCAAAAAACAGCAACAGTTGCAGGAGCAACATTAAGAGAAAAGTGCAACAAAATCTCAGGTTACCTAAATAAATGTAATGAAAATAAATTAAGGAATACATTTTCCTCTGCTCGTATTCCCTTTGAAAAATTCCATTTTTAGCAATCCCTTTTGCTGAAACTTTTCTGAACGGCCGTTTGAAATCTGAACGGTAAGATTAATTACGTATACAGTCCATTTCAAAAAGGAAAAAATTCCATTTTCTATCCAACAGTCACCCGAAATCTTATTTTTTTTTTAGTTTTTCTTTTATTGTCACTCCTAAGGATGAGAACTGTTAAAAGTCTAATGAAGAATTTCTGTTTACTTGATTTATTTGGCGTCATCCACTCCATACCTTTAATTCTAGACGGTCGGATGAGCTAATCGACACTAAAAAAAATTGAAAGAAAAAATGAGCAAAAACAAAAACAAAAGCTTACTTATGAAAACTTCATCTTTTGTTCTGACTCATCCTGTTCCATTTTTTTGGCTGACCTACGGCTTATTATGTTCACAGACACTGTCAATACGATGAGAGTCATGATAACATGGAATGTTGACGATAGCGTATTTGTTCATCAATTTTATTGCTATTTTGGTCAAATGTTTTACATACTTTTTTGATTGACAATCCAGGAGAAGCCGATGATCAGAAAGTGAAAAAAAAAAGAGAAGAGCATTCCTGCAAATTATTTAAGACAAAAAACAAGACAAAATTAACTATTTTTTTCTTTGGACCTTTTGCGTTCCACTGTGAAAACGTAAAAATACCTTACATTATTCTCAGTGTCCTACTTTCCAGCAGTTTCAATTTCACCCGCACTTTTTACTTCGGGCATCCAGCATCTTTTCGCTATTATTGTTATCACTCTTCTCGGATTAAGTTTCTTTTCCCTTCTAGTTTTCCTGAAAAATGTTCGATGACGGAAACAGTTGATCTATTTTACCCATTAAATTATTGAAACTGACTTCAAAAGTTGCTTTTTTTATATTTTGGTCATCAAGTTATGAACTGGTTAAACCATTAAGAAACTTCCAAACATTATTAGTCTGTACTCGACCGATGCCAGCTGCAAGTGCTGCTCTTTTCCACTTGATGTAATGACCCTTGTTGGTTGATTACCACTGGTCTGGCTGCTGAAACCCGTTAACTACTGTATTATTCAGACCGATGTCTCTCCTGATTCAAGTCTGTTTCTTTTTACTCCTATTAAAACAAAAATACAAAGTTTACAGTGAACGCCATAAATAAAAAAGAAACAGTTTTAACTCAAATTTTTGGATCAGGACTAAACCAGGAAGGAAAAAGTAATAGTACTTAAGTGTTTACTCAACATTATTTTCCAGGATCCAAAATTTATTTACATTCTGTTGCATTTGACGTTACGTTTTGACCATAAAATTCTAAGCAATTAATGGGTTTCTGCATTAACATGGTTTTAATTTATATTTAGTAGTTATTAAAGAATAACTGCTTGATGTTTTTTTCACGCTCAATCAGTCAGTTCACGTGAGCCATTATTCAATTAGTAGCACTTCAATTTTATTACTATTTTTGCTCCTGCTACAAAACAATAATAATAATAATAATAACGATAATAATAATAATAATAATAATAATAATAATAATAATAGCTAATAACAATAACAATAATAATAACAACAACAATAACAATAACAACAACAATAACAATATAAATAATAAAGTATTGTTTTCCTTTCATATATAAACTAATATTTTCTACTAATGTTGATAATAACGACGACCTGAAGCAGAAATAATGGTAATTTTAAACATCTTTCTTTTACCAATGTTCGCCTCAGCACTTGACTACCTTTTGCCTTAATTTAAAACTTACAATCGATGTTATTGTTTGTCATAAAATGGCTTCAGTGTTTATGAGGATCGCAACAACGACGAACAGACAAACAAACCTTTAATTTTTTAAACTATTATGCAGCACTTTGTTATCGTGTCGTTTAAAGTACTTTCTTTCTTTTTTTTTTTTTCGCAGAACCAAAACAGCAACGCTCCTTACATCAGCAATACAAAAACGGGAACTAAAAATTAGAGAAAAAAAATAAACGAAAGAAACTGCGTTGTATAAACTTAGTCTAAAATATACGTACAGTTTATTCTATTAATTCCAAAAGTCAAAAATAAATTATTTTTTAATTTTCCCTTCCTTCTGTGAATAGAAGGAAACATGAACATTGGTGTCGCAAGGCGTAGCAAAGCCATAACGTACGTTTTCGTTTGACACATCTGAAACAATCGATTGTAAAAAACCGCAGAGAAGTCTAAAATTTGAATCGATTAAATACTGCGGAAATATCACAACCTATGGTAACAACCTCAAGAGTCATAGCCCTTCAAGGAATTTACAATACTGTGGCAGTACTGTAACGTGCAAAAGTTTATGAGTCTTCTACTTTCAGTTAGACAGAAGTTAGATTTAGCGTTAAGCGGTTGCTGGTGATGCTATGGCATTGTTCTTGAATTGTTTAGTTTTATTTTTTTAAAGTCGTTCTGGTTAATTTTGTGTTTGGTCGACATGTGCCGAAGGATTTCAATTCCTTTAGTGCGTGCAGTTTTTTGCAAATTACCATTATCTTAATTATAATCATCAGTTGCAAAAAAAACAACAAATACATCGTCATCACTACTGCTCAGTTACTATTATAACTTACCAACTGATACAAAGCGCAATTTGCTCATTATTTTAACTGTTCTCAACTTCGGTGTAATTCTTTGTTCGGAATGTTGTCGACTTTTACTTCTTTAGTGCTTCGTTTAGCAATGGCTAATCGGGCACCAAAATCCGGTGTTGCACTGGAAGAAATGCGGAAATTGCAGTCAAAATTCGATCCCAAGTTGGCCAATGAGCTGTTAAAATGGATTTCTGCAACAACTGGCGAAGAGTTTGATGTGGATGGAGATGTTGCAAATTTTCAAAAAGTGCTTTCTGATGGAACGTTGCTTTGCAAGTAAACAATTTTTTAATACTTTTATTTTATACACATGCCGGTAAACATTTTTAACTGTTGATCTATTTGTTTTTTTTTT